CTGCTGCTGCTACTACTAATACTTTTATAACAACAACAAAGAAAGTATAACCAATATATAACCAATCTGAATCCATGCATTTGGTTGTAAAATGAACAGATGACTACAAATACGAGAGCTAATTATCATAGTGAAACGAAATAACATTGTTAAAATATGACAAGTGACATTCATGCCAAAATAACTCTTTCATGAAACTGTCAGTCAAAAGTGATTCTTAAGCCAGAAGCTGTTAGGATTTATATTTGCAGATCAATCGGAATTGTCTTGCAAGTGGATCTTGTGTAAACTCATCAGGACCAGATTGAGATTTCTTTCTTGATGTTTTGCAGCCTTAGTTGGTTTATTTAGGAAATCGTTATTGAGGGATCCAATCGCTGGCTTAACTCCAAAAGCATTTTAACTAAAAAATAATACAATTTTGAACCAAATATATATTTTTTATCAATTTTGAAACTAACTTATATAAAATCCCATTTTGACAAAGTTTTTCTGATTTGTCTCCTAAGTATTTAGCAATCGAAAACTGCAAGACTTTGTTTTCTAGTTTTGCCGCTGATAAATCTTTAAAAAAATATGTCGAAAAAAATTACTGAACTTGAAAAGACATTTTTTAACAATATTCCATAATAACTAAAATGAACTTTCTGTGCTAAGCGTGGTGAATTAATGGCATTTAGATCATAAATGGTAAAAAAGATTAAGTTTCTTTATCTTATAATTAGAGCTTAGTCTAATTATTTGAACAATTTTCATCCAATCATTTCTCTAGAGTATCTCAGAATTACTTCCTTTAATTGACGTCTATTATTACGCCAATTCTTGGAGACCAATTTTCTTCGATTAAATTGACAATTGTCTAATTTTGGTAAAATTTCAGAGTCAAAACAAATTATTGCATGAGAGGAGGAAGAGAAATGGCGAGGATAGCGCCAAAAGATGCCAAATCATTCGTACACTTTGGCTTTCTTTTTGGATGGCATGTCATATTAGTGTCCAAGAGATGTCAAAACCGCGCGTCATTATTTTTTCGGCTTACTCTCTAATGACGTCAATGATCCAAATCATACATTTGACTTAGCTTCTTACCTTTTCAGTTTTTTTTAACTTTGAGTTTCCTCTAGGAGTGTTTAATAAGTCTCTGTTTTAGATGCATCGCTTTGTTTAACTCAAGTATTGCTTTTCTAGCCTCTAATAGTTTTCTAAGATCAACGGATGCAGCTTCCATTCGGCACTAAAACGTACAAACTGTAAACTGAAAAATCCATCTCGAATCCGAATTCAAGTTTAAACATTTAAGATTTTAAGATTACCCGTGAACGATTTTATTTAAATTGGCATGCATTTCATATGAGATGTGTGTTTATAAAAGAATAAGCCAAGGTTTCCCAACTAAGAGATTCACGCTAAAGTTAGCACTTTTAAAAATTGGACGAGAGCCATTAATTTTTAGTTAAATTCAATTATTTTATTTTTTCCCTATTTTCATTTCACTTTTTTCACATTTAAAGGGTTTCCTTCTATTTCAAATTTTGTTTTAGTTTAAGTTTTCTCATCGACAACCGGGTTTTGTTTTACCATTTTCCTGCCTTTTTTCAATCTCCAATATGGCGGACAATATTCTCAAAATTTCGGACACGCATTTCTTTAAAAGATTAAGCCTTCAAACTTGAATTTTGACCCTGTAATAGTCATTAACGGCATTTGCGGCAGCTTTTAGACTTCAATAAAAGAGTTTCAGCTATAGCTTTTCAGATGCGCGTCCGGAGTTTTTGGCGTAATTGTCTTTCAAAATGAGAGAGTTTCCGCTGTACACGATGAAAGACGCCAAACAACGAAAGCTCTCCATTGAAACATATAACTAATGATGAGAAATATCGAGAATGTGTATCCAATATTTAAATAGAACTGCAATAAAACTGAGAGCCACAAAAGAAGCTAGAATACTAAGCTAGACATTCATAACGATTAAACGATATACATATAATATATAGTAAAAATACCAAAGCAGAATGTGGTCAGCAGACGGGCCACAAAGAGTTAGACAAAGGTAGACATTTAATGGTAATTCTAGTTCAGTGCAACAAAAGTAGAAGAAATACTTTAAATCGTTCTAGACCTTATTAGATTTACGAGATAATTTTTTTAACAGATTTCAATTCGACTTTTTTTTTTAGTTCAATCGGTAGACGTCAGTCTTTCTACGACTTCCCGGAGTCATGTTAACTTTTAATTGCTGAGAAGCTTAAAGTCGCAGTCAGCACCACTTTTGTAGGGATTCACGGTTTTCAAAGCATAACTGTACGTGGTATGATTAATTCAAAAAAATATTGTCATTGATAAATGAATCTGAAAGTCGATGAAATACAAATTGACGTGTTTGGGCATTCCATTGAGTTAGGAATGGTTGCTAGGGAATCAGAGAGCACTGACAAGTACACGGTAGCGTTATCTCCTAGGAATCATAATTTGAGACTATGCCATAAAAAACTAATGATTCAAAACCCAAGGAAAGTAATTAATGCCTTTCAAAAAACAAAAAGAAGTTAGACGGAAGAGTTTGACAGGACTAGTGTAAACAATGTGGGAAAAAGAAAAGCCTCTAAATATTATTTTTAAAATCTTTACCCTAGATTAGTAAGTTATATTTTTGTCAACATAAAATGTGAGGTTAGATGTATTGAATCGCCTTTCCAAACAAGTCTAGATCTTAATGCTCTCAAAGTGGTAGCTCTTTTTTTACAAGTGTGTAACGGAAAAAAATCCAAAAACATTTCCAGCAAATCTTCCATTTATACTTACTCTAAATAACATTAAAATAACGTTCCATTTCGTATTCATGTTATTTATTTTTTTTGATTTCACTTCTCTTTCATTCTCTTTTCAAACACCACCGCTTGATTTAATCTAAGACCAAACATATGAGGAATTCCCCCTTTAAAAAATATTTCGACTTAAAAAATCCAAATGTAGTAATATCAAACAAAAGCTGTATAAACCAACTATTCATTATTTCCTTAGAAACGGGCCGCCAAAGGCATATTTCTAATTTCTAACGTAATTCTTCAGGAACTTAAAGTTGCTCTTACGAATACCCCCTATCGCGAAAGTGGTTATTATGATCTTGTACAAAACCGAATGCGTGTTTGATGTAAATATATGTTATGAATCGTTGGGTTTCTTATGTTAGTATTACCGAGGATGTCTTTATCGTATTCAAACCCTATTTTTCTAGCCGTAAGTAACTTTAGTAGTGAGATTTAACTCCAAAAAGCTCTAAATTATTAAGAGTTTTATCTGTAAAACATCTTACGAATTTTAACATCATAGAATAAAAATCTGCTCAAGGTGTTTGATCTCATAATTTACCCTAAAGATCTCGATATAGCTAGATGCTAGTTGTACTAGTAGTATTCCTTTGGTGTGTAGTTACTAATTTTTGAGATAAGAAAGCTAATGTTATCTTGAGAACCTGAAACCACCCCGAAAATAAATTCAACATTATAAGGTCATTTAGAAAGTAACTTTAACTTTTCATTGTTTCTATTTCATTTGAACTTGGTTTCAATGAGATTTAAGTCAATGAGATTTAAGTCAAAAGTTCCGATGTAATCAAGCTTGAGGTATTAAAACGAAGGTAAAACTAAGACGAGAAGTTTTTACTGTATATAAAAAGAAATCAGAAAAGAATGGTAGCCTAAAACGGTGTTGGTGGGTTACACAATTGGCGGCTGTGTCAATAAACCCGAGAAAATTCATTCTCAAAACTCATTTTCTCCCCTTTAATTTGGTTTCAAATTTATCTCAAAATACTAGCGACTTTTTCTTTTTTCTGGTTAGAGAAAATCGATATTTTGAGAGAGAGAGTGAGAGTGTAAAAGAAAAAATATTGATATGGTTTCAAGTTCGCGGTGTTTTGAGAAAAGGATCCGAATTAGTACAAAAAGATAAATATTGCATTATAGATATGAGTTACCTTCGTTCGCGCTTGTCTCCCATACAGAGCAGGCGACGAGAATCATAACCTGAGTACAAAAGAAGAAAACAATAAGAAAGAATAAGAGATACAGCGTTCAAATAGTAAAAAATGTCGCTTAAAAGGTGTCGAAAAAAGTTAATATATTCAGTACATGAACAAGCACTCACCAAAATCATTTTCATTTTGCGAGCGAATCCCTACTCGGGACAAGTTTTGTCGAATTTCCTCACATATCAACCTTCAACGTCGTTTTTGAAGTGTTTCTTTGAAATCCCTTAAGTGTTGGGGAAATGTTTCTGCGACTTTTTGCTAAGGTTATCCACTAAGACAATAGTTTTTCTTAGACGTAGGCAAGCGAATGAAGACTTCAGTAACCAGCCAAGCAAAATGGGTAAAGTGACATTTCGTTGTTTGCCTATCGCAATAATAGAATTAAATAGGAATATTACATTTGCATCTGATTAAATGCGTAATATACACTATTATAATGCCACAATTATCTTAAATTATTTCAAGTTTCTGTGTAATTTTGATGCCTTTTGGATTGCAGTACACTGATGAATTGAGGCTCAGTTCCCAAAACGAGACGAGCGCTGTACATCTGTCCTCCAAGATTTATGATGACATTGACGTCTTATTAAAAAATAAAACGCATCTAACGCAACCATTCCATTCTGTAATATAATAAGAACTATTCATGCAAAAGTTTTAGCTAAATAGAGTATACACACAAGGACAATGTTATAGTATATAGCTTTCAACAAAAAAAAGGCAACGGGTTTTCGTACTTTTTATATATTTGCGCGGGAACGAGTCTCCTTAAAACAAAATAATCGAGTAATCTCTCAAACGTAGAAAACAAGGAACCAGATCTCGTATTTGATGCAAAGTTCATTCTCTAAGCAGAAATTGTTGAGTTTATGCTTTATTTATAGGTGTACAGATCTCGAGGGATTATGCAAATTGACGTAAAAGAGCATAAAACTAAATTCGGAGTTACAATTTCAGCATCGTAGAATAAAGGCAACAAAACAAATTAGAAAGCTAACGGTTATGAACGTATAAGATTAAGATCAAACGAATTTTAAAAAGAAATACTATAAGTTCCTAACATCTGCCCTCAATGTTGACTCTTCGAGAGAAAATTTCAATATGTTTCCATGGGAACGGCTTCTAACAATCTTCTTCTACCGGAAAAAAATTTCCTAATTTTATTTTACATTATTCCTAAGTAAGTAAAATTTATTTTGAAGCAATAAAATGAACTCTTGTTTACAAAGAATTAGAAAATTGGCTTTCGTAGCTAATGAATATCATAATTTTGTAGTGTAAAATTTATCCAAAAATGTTTTTAAAATTTGATTTTTGAATCGCAGGAAATCCTACCAACGGCTTTGATAGATCTCGCATTCACCAAATTAAAAGATTTCTGAGTGTTTTGATTATAAGTCTACAGTATTATACCTCGGTATTACGCGTGCTTCCCTATTATCAGGACTTCAATAAGATAACTTTTGTTTTTCGCTTTTTTTAATATTTAACTTAAAGCTAAAACCCGAAAACACTTAAGAACATTTTGACATTTAGTTTGCAATTTGCATACTTTGTATTGACTTTGCGAGTAAAGAAGCTTGAAAATGGTCAGGAAAGGAAGTCAGAAATTTCTATATTCCTTGGATACTGTTTGCCTAGCAATATCTTTGATGTCAGAACACAGTTGATTTAAACTTACTTTGAGAGATTAAAAAAATAATCTATAGCCTCATTTCAATAAAGGGGCGTTGACTTTAAATTGAAAAGCGTTGGCCGAATCTATATATCACATGTAATTCACCCCTATTCAACTCTGTATTTGCTGTTGTATTTCAAACATTTCAAGTTATGAGACCGAGTTATTTCAACTCAAGTTCACTGCCAAAGTGTTCTTAATGGCTGGCTGATACTGAAGAAGCCCCTATCAGGAAAAAATAATACGGCAATCACCGTTCTTATAGTAACTCACTTCACAGAGCTGCAGCTCTTAATATACTTTACATCTGGTCTAAAAGTGACTTCAAGATAAGGCTAGAATTGATTTCTTTTCAAACTCAAAAAGCAATAAAACCATATTAATGTGAACTATTTTGGTCTACTGATAACGAATACGAATTCGAAAATTAAACTGTAAAGCTTTGTCAATGAGGCCATTAATCACGTACCAAAGCCGCTTCGCGACATTTCAGATTATTCAAAAGTTTTACAGGATTTTTTCTCCTAACGATGTATATTGATACTCTTTAGCCACATTAAATTCAAAAAAWTCGTTTTCTATTTGATTGTTTATCTACTTTACTTCAATTTACTTTACCAAATTATCGGAAACTTAGCGCTAATTCCAAAAAATTTAAGAAGCATGAAATAACTGACAAGATTTTGCTTCCAGGGGAGAATCTCTTCAAAACGTGCRGACGTGACTGCCAATCTAGTCTCTGCCAAACCAAGTTATTACATATTTATTTTTCATAGGTTATTATCTTTTACGACCCAAAGATTGATTCCTTTTTTGTTGCGACTGAAGTGCTAAGATAACTAGTCTCATATTCTTGTTGTGAGAGACTAGAATTGGGTGATTATTGATGGGTATCTCTTGAAAGTCCTGAGAGGTTTGTTATATCGAAGTGATTATATTGTTCTTCATCGAGTATGATCGCGTATTGATCACTCAGACATCGAAGTCAAAAGCAAAGTGCTATGTTTTTCATTCTTGAAGCATTCAAAACATTCCTGTTTGTCATGAACTACGTCTAACGTTAACGGTTAGTTTATTCCTCAAGAAGTATTAGAAACTCAAATTAAATACCTAATTGATGCTCAAGGGAGTGACAAGTGCAAGGGGATTCGAACCGCCAGAATTTTAAATATTGAGCAATGATTGTAGAAATGTGAGGAACTAAACAAGGAAAAGAAAATTGGATTGAATTGAATATTTTCTAATTATAGGGGTTCGTAGTTGTCATTTAGGAGGTTTGATTGCAGTTAAGAGGGGGAGGGGGGATCACTCCCCCCCCCCCCCCCTAAGATCTTCCCTTGACTTGATGGTCTGAAATGTATACAGGAAAACAAAATGTCTCTCCAAAATAAAAGGGCCATCAGATCATAGTCTTGCCCCTAAGGGCGCGCATTGTGTGAATGACAAATGAGTTTCTATGAATATGTTTTAGAAGCCCATTGTGAGCATAATTTCGGCACCACCTGCCTGCCTGTAGAGATAACCAAAAACACGTTAGTACTACTCTCAAAGATCTGTAACCCTATTGGTTATCGACGATGACAGGTAACAGAAGGTTCGAGAAGTGGGAGGCACTTAAGTACCGCTGATACCCAGAGATATATGACGTCAGTCGTGAAGAAAAAGGGAATATCTTTATGATTGACATGGGTAATGTTGTGATAAAGCATTTGCCTTTTGCTTATTATTTTTACCGGGTATTTAATGCCCATCATCAAAGCCAACACGTGCCACACATGCAGAGAGACAGAAAGGAAACCTTATAAACACATTACACACAGACCATCCTGGCACGCACTGACACAAACGTACAAACACCAAAACACATTCTTACAGTACGCTGTACAAATAATGTTTTTTTTTTTTTTTTGGCCTTTTTGGAGGATATCTACTTTGGGTGTGCAATAGCGCAGCGCGCTGATTCTAAAAATAGCTTAAAGATTCGGACAAACATTGCATTCTGTTTAACCGCTACGAGGATTATACGAACCGATTTTATTATTTTTACTTAAAGTTACAATAATAACCCATGTAAACTAAGATCAACGAAGATCGGCTGTGAAAATTATCTGCTGAAAGTAAACTTGTAAGTTTGTTTGTCCGAATTTTGCCTTTGTCTTTGTTTTTATGACGTCACGGCTGCGCTGCGCTATTCGTTCAAAGCACTTGTGTGGTGAGCTCGCATAGCAGGCGTTTTAATCTTTATTGGGAAATATCGGCAAGATCGACCATAAGATAATTAATAAGATTTTAACTAAAAGCTGTTTAAGTATTTTCAAATGCTGATTTTAAGTCTTTTTAGGTGGTGCTTTGCCAAGAACCACATTGTTTTTCACGCGCGCTTCGTCCCCACAGCCCCGCGCATCCAACCCACGTACCTTGCGTCACATGGTAAACGGGGGTCACTGAAGAACTAATTTCCTTTAATCCTTGTAAACTAACTTTAGACTAAATATTTGCCAATTTACTAATGCTTACTATTTATTTAAATATTTTTTGTATTTGTTTTAGTTGCCGGCAGCCGAGATGCGTTCTTTCCTTGAGCAATTTTTGATAATATTTCTTTGAGGTCTAGATAGCAGATATTTGAGAATCATTCTTTGTTGTGTGCTTGTTTGCATGTCAGTGCACCTGTATGTCTGTGTGCCTGTATGTCAGTGTGCCTGTATGTCAGTGTACCTGTATATCAATGTGCCTGTATGTCAGTGTGCCTGTATGTCAGTGTACCTGTATATCAATGTGCCTGTATGTCAGTATGCCTGTATGTCAGTGTACCTGTATGTCAGTGTACCTGTATGTCAGTGTGCCTGTATGTCAGTGTACCTGTATGTCAGTGTGCCTGTATGTCAGTGTGCCTGTATGTCAGTGTGCCTGTATGTCAGTGTGCCTGTATGTCAGTGTGCCTGTATGTCAGTGTGCCTGTATGTCAGTGCGCCTGTATGTCAGTGTACCTGTATGTCAGTGTGCCTGTATGTCAGTGTGCCTGTATGTCAGTGTACCTGTATGTCAGTGTGCCTGTATGTCAGTGTGCCTGTATGTCGGTGTGCCTGTATGTCAGTGTGCCTTTATGTCAGTGTGCCTGTATGTCAGTGTACCTGTATGTCAGTGTGCCTGTATGTCAGTGTACCTGTATGTCAGTGCGCCTGTATGTCATACCAAACAAGATTATTGAATTTCGAAACTCGGTTTACATCTTGTCATTTTCAAGATTTTTTGCAAAATTTTTATTTCAAGTTTATTTTTTAAATCATTTTTTGACACATTTATTCCTGGCTATTAAATGTGTGGAAACTAATGAGTTACGCATCAACACGTTTGAAATATCAGATTTCCTGGTTCTTATCGGCGAGTTCGACACTTCTTTATAGTTATATAAGCATTATTTCCTGAATTGCGGTCATGAACAAAACTTAATATTCTTAAACCTATATCAAAGGATTTCTCGATCATTTCTTGATTGTCAAGGATAGTTAATTTATAATTTTTTACAATCCTACGTGAAGCGCCGTATAATGGAAGAGATATTAACGAAAAAAACTCTCACCCTAAGAGCAAAGGAAAATGGACTATTTCATTTCCTCTTGTTAAAAGATTTGAGACAGCGGAAATTTTCCATAACGCCTAGCCGTGCAGAAAAGACCATTTATCTCTTTTAGTATAAAACGAGAGATGAGGCCTGCAGAATTCAAACGAATAGCATCGGTAAGGCATAAACTTGGGCCATTTAAAGTTATCGCTCACAAAGAGAGAGTTTCAAAAGAGATTTATGAGAGATAAACCATCGATAACTTCACTGGCTATCACTGACTATAGACCACTGTCAGCAGTTTACTGAACATTAAGGGTGATGTTGCAGTAGTACTTGTACCCGCTAAATCACATCTGAGGACTTGGATTCGATTCTAGGACTCATCGATCATCGCATGTAAGTAGAGCTTGTTAGGTCTCTTTCTTGATTCGATGGCTTCATCTGGGTTCTCCAGTTTACCGGGTCGCTAAATTCAAATTTGATCTGTGATTAAGCCGTGCCCTGCCTTTTATCAGCCCATAGATTGTTTCAGGGATCTATCTGTGATTAAGCCGTGCCCTGACTTTGATCAGCTAAGTGGCTGTTATGGAATAAAATCTGAGTGAGTTTTTTGAAAAACATATTAGGACAGCGTGCACGAAGCAAAAATCAGTCCCACCACTTGTCTTCTGGAAATATTGAAGTTCTTATACACTAATGATATAAGAACATTAAAAACATTAAGAAACTAACACAGGAGAACTATCCATCTCTCATCTTCTGGAAGTTCAAGTTCTTCATCACCAGACACTACACAAGAATCAAGAAGAACGTTTTCAGTGATAGCCACTTTAAATGCTTCAAACCCCTAACATTTTTCGTTGAAAATACGACTGAGTTTATTCTTTAAAATATACCAAGGAATTTCGCTGAAATTAAGAGCTTTGGTTTTTTACAAGTGGGGCCGGGGTTGTTCATCATTTCACAGATTGGCCAAGAGGTTAGTCAAATTGTTTTACAGATTGCGGGCATTGGTAATCATGGAGAGTTCTTCACACAGCAACGCCAGCACACTTCTGAACCAAAGCAGTATTATAAATTCTACTAGTAAGACGTATATTGTATCTCCACTTCCATTAATGATAAAAATCACTATGACTATTATAATGGCGCTTGTCGGAAGCGGTGGCTTGGTTGCGAACTCTCTTCTTTTGTACATCGTAAGAAAACAAGAAAAAATTCGCAAGAAGGGAAGAACCGTCAAGTGTTTTACAAGGATATTAACTCCTTATTTCATCCAAAGTTTAGCTCTGTCCGACTTCCTCTGCTCATTGGTAAACCTTCCCGTGTTTATCGCTCAGTTGTATTCTGATATTGTGCAAAATGAGTGGGGATGTAGATGCGTGAGATATTTGAATCTCTTCTTCGCTGTCGTCACCCTGAACAACCTCCTCGTCATAGGAATCGAAAGATATATGGCATTATTCTATCCCTTCCTTCTGCCGTCGCCTAAATTTTCAAAAAACCTAGTCATACTTGCATGGATCGCTGGTGCTGTCATCGTTATCGTCCCTATAGTGACATTCAAGACAGAGCCCATAGATCTAGGCGTACACGAGTACACTGTAATATGTAGATATGAGAAAACTGTTCCCGTATACCGGGCAATGTTCATCGGATTCACCGTTGTCAACTATGTCATCCCGAGTATCATYTTGACTATTACCAATATTCAAATCTTGATTTTCCTAAAAAGCCAGAAAAACGCCAGCAACAGTGCAGAACAAATCGTGGCCAACTCGTGGAGATTTAACGACACCAAGATGTTCGTTAGCCTCATCTTTGCTTTCGTTATTCCATACTGCCTTTACGTTATATATTCTGGATTAAACATCGCACTGAAGATCAATCTCAGTTTTACAGTGGATTACGTAGTTCGTCGAGTTAGTGGCATCATCGCTTATTCAATCGCTCTAGTCAGTCCCACCATAATTTTCTCAAGCATGCCGAGCCTAAGAAATATGCTCCGAAATCTACTCAGAAAAGTCTTTTGTTTGAAAAGAAATGCGAGAGTCAGCGAGGTAAACCCAGCTGTGCTTCCATGAAAGGAAAGACGTCTGACCACTCGGTGACTCAGTTTGTCCGCCGAAAAGCCAAGCTCTAAAGACAAAATGGAATGTGCTTTTTAATATAGTTGCTTCAGTGAGCGGTGGTATGGCGATATATCCTGATTGGCTTGAGATTTTCACTACCTAACAGTCGCCTTAGCAACACGGTTTCTGGAAAGTTCGAGAAAATGGACGTCCAGCGTTTTTGACAACTTTGTTTTCATCAGCATTCCACTATCATAATAAAAAGGTTTAGATTAAGTTTAAAAGAACGCTTCATTCTTTACATTTTATTGCATTGGAAATATTCTCGCCATGCCTTCGGCTTGAGAGTATATTTTTGACTTTTGCAAAACCGAATTAAGTAAGCTTTAGTAATTTATCTAAAAAGGTTATTATCATTGTATTAAAGCTTTTCTGGGATAAATTTTATCATTCTACTTTGTTACTCAATTCGTCGATAAAGAATAACTGATTCTACGATTCAGTCTTTGTCATTCAAAGAAGTGAGCTTATAAGCTTATTAAAAAGTTTTCTTCGAAGCTTTATAGCTTGAAAGAAAACAAATTGTGTACGATATTTTTCACTCACCTGTAGCACAAAGTGCAAGAGGCATAGCTCGTAATTTCCCTTATCCTTGTACCGCATTGCCAGAAACATTTTTTGTTTCATAAAAGTCGTACAAGAGGAGAAAATAACTTTTTTGTCAGAGAACTGTCAGAGAACCGTTGCATTCCAAGACAGACGTGGATACCAAAAGAGTGCTATTTTCGCCGTCAATCAAATGCTATGAGCCAATCGCGCGTGGTAATTCTGAGCCGACATATAGATCAAAGTTAACTTGTAGGATTAATGACATTTATCTTGGATGTCTTTTTTAGATTTTCGACGATTTCTTTTCTAAAACAAATTCTAATAGCATTTTATACGGTTACTAAAAAGAGGTACATATCGTAATGTGACGGGTTAAGCATGAAAAAGAAAATTATATTATACCAACGCATACACATGGCATACGCCACGCATATAGACACGGATACACAGACACAAACAGTATATCATGCAGTGTTCCTATATATCAGTGTGCTTGTATGACAGTGTGCCAGTATGTAAGTGTGCCTGTACGTCAGTGTGCCTGTTGTAAGTGTACCTGTATG